TATAAAAAATCTTAACGCCATCCAATCTGTAATATTCATAGGAACTCACAAAATGAAATAGAACATGGCAGGACAACCCCGGGCTAAACATAGCTAGACTGGGGGAAAAACGGCCTTCCTTCCAGAGAGGTACATAAGATAAATGCATAATGTGTAAGAAGGGATCATAAAATACATAAATTACAAACCTCATTTCGGCCATAGGGATGGGTCTGGTGACCGGTTTTAGGACACAGCCTGGACAATGGTTGACGACCTTACCGATTTTATAGTTTAACAACTAGTGCAAACCAGTTAATTCATGCATGTTAAAAGCCAATCCAAAAGAATGCTCGATTTTATCAGACTTTGTTTACTATTACGGGAAAAAAGAGTAATTCAAACCGGACCAAATCCAGCATTTCAACAGTATCAGTCGTAATCCGATCCCAATTTGATAAAAACCACGTTCAGTCCGAATCCAATCTCAGGTCGGATTTCGATCTCATGTTCAATGCAGATCGGATATGCACACCCTTGGGGCGCTTGCCTGTTTGTCATTTTTTGGAGAAGACCGATTTTAAAAATTCTCCTCGATGTCCTTTAGAGAAAAAGGGAGGCTCTGGAAAAAAAAAAGAGGTGTGACGTAGTAATTATGGGTTCCGCCAGGCAATTATTGGAAATTTGAAATACTCGTGTCCCACGTACCCTCAGCTCCAGTATAGATTTTTAGTGCCATTTTAAAGTTGGACGGATTTATTTCTTTTTTTTGGGGGGGGGGGTTGCGCTAACGCTTTACTCTTCATCCCAAAATCGTTAGTTCATTGCCATGATCAAATAGCCGACAATTTCTCCCTTTATTTTTACGCTGTTTAGAGATTTTTTGGCACAAAATTATCTTGAACTTCATCCGGACAAAAATTCTTTGAGGATTTTTGGGTCATTGTTTTCTGATTTAGTCGAGTGTATAAAGTAACGTAAGATACGTGGTTGCTGCACGGATGTACATACTAAAGTTTGGACCCTCAAAGCTCCTGATTGGTTTATTGGTTGAAGCCACAAGAGGTCGTGATGTGGCCATTTTGCCGTGCCTAAAGTTTCAACCAACGCTAACCTATAAACGGGAGCCTGCCACGATCTTTGATATTTTTGTCAAAAATATCCAATAGTTTCAATGAACCAGATTCGATGACTGCCCGAGGGTTATTGTAGGGATTGGTAGGGACAAACTCTTGCAGATGATGTTCGTGCCTTCCATAGGTATAGCATTGGTTTGTTCACAACCTTTCGGAACGGCGAAATGGCTGTCACTTTACTTCCGCTATGTAGCTTCAACAACGTCCACATCACGCATGTTGCATTGCGGGTCCAGATTTCACAGTATCACAACGGTCTGTCGGTTGTTGCGTCGATGTTTTCAACAACTTACCGTAGATTACTTACAGATCTAGAGAGGTTTTCTACCAGCCATGTCACATATTTTCTACGACCAATGACTGCCAGATTTAATTGTCCAAACTGACTGTCCAAGTGACTAAGTATAGATATTGGTAGGTTTTGGTCACTCATTAAACCACACATGGCCCAACAAGGCCTTAAAATAATGAGGGTTACAGTTTATGTAACACATACAATGCCATTCGTCCTACTGAGTTACATATGCAACGCATTGATGTTGGCAAAAAGTCCGCCAGAGTGCTTATCTTGTCTTTAAGTGCATTTCCAATTTGCGCGTTATGATTCTGTAGTAAACGACACAACTATTCCTCAAATTGATTTCAGGAGGGGGTTCTCTGTATTGGTAATGTCATTAGTGAGCTAAAAATGACGCACACAACCCTAGTCACTCTCGTTTCCAGCAACTGTCTAATTTGGTAATGAAAGAACTCGTTTTATCTCGTTTCATACTAAAGGCTTGATAACAACGCACGGGATATCATTAAATTGAACACCACAATAGCCTGGAAAGAACTCTCTAAAAAACTCCCAGGTCAAATTGACCCAGAAATGTGTTCCATTCGGCGTGACCCTTTTGTCCGGGTGAAATTATCACACAGAAAGGGTTAAATAGGACCCAAAAGGGGGTCAATTTTGACCGAGAAAAGGGTCACGCCGAATGGGACCCAATTCTGGGTTAATCTGACCCTGAATCTTTTGAAGTGAAAGAAGCAAACTTGAACTGGAATGAAGATTCGGTGTCGATAAAATGTAATTCACAGACAACACAACACGCACCCAAATGTCAATAATAACAACTGTTTCTTTTCTTGGTGAAACATGCACAACAGGGCCCTAATCTCAGAAGGAGCGGAATTGCGGAAACTATTTTGAGTTACACTTTCACAGTTATTACATGCGACGTCATTCAATGATTTTACTCTTGCGGGATAAGGAGGTCCATGGTCCAATTAGTGAAACTACATTGTAAGTTTGTTTTCATCCCTACAGTTGTATGGACTTGCCAGGGAGTCGTTTCGATTGATCATTCAATCCGGTTTAATTAAAATGGCCCCGATTTACTCTTTATTGGATGTGGCCCATGTACATAACTCAGACGACCATTTGAGTCAACTGTTTCTGAGGAAACTAGTTTAAGGCTGTTTTTTTTTTAATTTTCAAAATGCTATCATGACCGCTCAGGAAGTTAATAGACTCATTTACAATGAGCCAGTATATTATCAAGATGTAAGTATATGCTTACAGAACGTAAAGGGGATTGGCCAAGTAGGCTGAAATTGACGTTATATAATTGTTTTCAACCGTTTTATAAACAATAAGTTGGATTAACCCCTCTTTAATGTCATTAAATCAGCAAAGCTTGGCGTTTTCTCTGGGCTTTTTTCCGTCTCCACCTGGGCTCTTCGCAAAAATTTATCAAAATCGGTCAATGAGGGCAGCAGACAAATCTTGGCAAAAATGTGACGTCATAGGACGGACTCGACTTTTCAGAACAGAATGCTTAGTTCCGGCGCGAAAGTTGATTGGTACAAGGAAGCGACACGCAGTGGACGGTGAAAAAGTTGTTCGAATGGAACACCAACTTTGACGAAGTAGGCTAGCCTATAACCATGGACAAAAACTTACACCCCCAAAGCACTGAAACACGCAACAGAACAACCAAACTGGCAAAACAGACTAAAGACAAGGATGGCAATCTAGCTTTCCCAGTAGGCGGTAGGCCCTAAAGACAAGTCCCAACGCAACGTCAACCCGTTTCGCGTCACCTGGTTTTCCCGGGTGTCGATGATAACACGTGCCTGTTTCACTTTAAAAGAGGATTTATCAAACATCAGCAAATACAGCTGTCGATTAGCCAATGGTAGGACAATTACGTCTTTTCAGAGAGACAAATTTTTATAATGGTGCAGGGAAAATCATTACTAGTCAGTGTTTTTACAAGGATGGATTTGCGCCGGGGACCACTGAGCTGGCCGTCCCTCCATCCTTGGAAATAGTTGTTCGCAGTACCTGCTGCTACATCTGACTCGAACCAGCCAGCCGACACCATTAAGCTCGGTGGTTAAGCCGTCTGCACCAGTAAGCAAGAGGTCGTGGGTTCAAGTCCCACCCGAGTACGCTGATGAGTTTTTTCACAAGCCTTCGGGGCAAACACTGGGTATACATGCGCACGTGTTGTAATACACGTCGGGCAGGGCAAACCCAGAATTAGTCAGTGTTTTGTTGTCGATCCTCCTGGTCGGCGCCATGCCCGTGGCCAACAGCCTCGAGTTGCAAAATCTCTTCCCGAGTGGATTCTGGTTCGATAAGACAACATTTCGTGTGCCTCATCGGCTCCTTCAATGTCGCTTTCTTCGTCAAAATGAATAAGACGAACAAGACAACTGATCGCTGTCAAGATCGGAAAAAGCATCAACGCTGAAATTATCGTCGCCACGATTATTAGCGTCGGGACGATTTAAAGCGACGATAATTCCAGCGTTGATGCCTTTTCCGATCATGAAAGCGATCAGTTGTCATGTTTGTCTGACACAATGGCACGCGCTAACGCTACTGCATGAAGTACATGTCGACGCGTCGTTGCGTAACAGTAAACAGTCGCCGGATAAGGGACTCCGTCCTGTGACGTTACGATTCTTGGGAATTTCTTTAGACTTTTTCGGTACGCGACGGCTGTTGTTTAGCTTTTGCTCCCAGAAGGGAGTGGAATAGGGTCGTAAAAACTATAATTTTAAAACATATTTACGCGCATTTTGAAATTATGCAGATGTATTTTCTTGTTACATGTATGTTTGGTGTATGACTTGTGTTGATGTATTTTTACAAGAAATCTTCCCAGCACGACCCATCCCCTGTAATGTTACTTAAATTTGAAATATTTGGTTGAAATGATTAACCACTCCAGAGAGGCTTTTTTTCATTTCTAATAAGTCTGTAATCTTCTAAAGAAAGGGTCTGCCAAACTGTGGATGGATCAGAAAATAATGGGGCAAACGAAAGCGTGTTTGGGACAGGGTAGACAAAATCTCTGGAGTCCTTGAGCTAACTCGTACGCAAGACTTCTGTGTCGTTTTTATGATTTATCTCATATAGGATTAAAAGTACAAGTTATATTATTATTTATTTCTGGTAATGACAGCGAAGATTCTTTAAAAGCGCCCTTGGCACTGTTTGCAAGCCTGAAGAAACCTGTAGAGAGGAGACAATGCGAATATCTCGAACTTATACGACTTTTATAACTCTCCATACGAACGAGTCGTTACTTGTTCGTAAGACTTAATCTCGTATAATTTACGTACGACCAAGGAATCAAGTTGCACTTTCGTCTAATTGTACGCAAGACTTATCTATGTCGTAGGTACAAAAAAAGTTATACGCAGGGGATATAAGTCGTAGGTAAGAGATGTATAACTGGTGCCACGCATGTGCTGCATATTCCGTCCCATGCTGCATGTAGTCAACTCTGGCTGGTACGCATCCTCTTGAACGTCTCCAAAGTGTTAATTTGGTTGAGTCAAATTTCAAGCGTGTAATATGTTGAAATATCAACTTTGAAGACGCGGTAATATCAATCTACCATCAAACAATCGGGTTGTCTAAACTTTTTACGACAAACGTGAAAAATACAGCCTCAAGCTCATGGCATGACGTTCCTATATTGGGGTTTGCAATTTGCTTTATCTGCCGGGAATTCTCTGACAGGGATCACACCTCCGTCATGACTGGGCGGCAGGCGACAGGATATGCACCTTTCTCCGCTGTCGACTGCCTCTCGAGTAATCCAAGCCCCTCCCAAGACAGACCTAAAATCAGTGTTGAAACAAAGCCTTAATTAAAGTGTGCTCATAGATTTTTTGATCGATCGATCGATTCTCTCTCGGCTTTTTGTGTGTTTTAATCAAAGCTCGCGAACTTGGGAATTCGCCTCCGGAACGATGACGCTGAGTGATTATTGACATCCCTGTATAGATAGAGCTGACAATGTAAGGATATTTGTCCATCTTGCGCGATAAGGAGTCAACGATGGAATGTAAATTCCACGTGAATTTTCCTGTAAAAATGTCACTGATAGGGTTTAATACTGGACATTTGTTTTCGTGAATAGCGTTACACAGTAGTAACGATTATTCAGCCCTTCCTGCAATCCTAAATTTCCCAATGATGCTGGGTTTGGGAAAATTTGGACTTCAACATCATCCCTCGGTTAAAAAACTCAAACAAGTCAACACTTGCGCTGCGCTTCATTTTTATTTTTAGTAACCAGTTACTGATTAATTTCACTGTGAGACCTGCGTTCCACTGTGCGTTTCACTTTCATGACCTATCTCGATCGCCATAGCCCAGGGCACGGACATTTTTACAGACGGGTAGGATTTCCAGCACAAGGGATTAGGTGTAATTAAGGCTGCCCTTGAATTATGACAGTAAAGTGTTCCGGGCACGCTGGGGGTTGAAAGAAGGAAGTGGGAAGAGATCTGAAAGATCCTCATCCCTGGGCAGTCCGTGTGCTAACCTTTCCGTCGGAGGCTTAAACATACGCCAACAGTTTCGATAAATGCCTAAGAAATGTTGGTACTGTTCTGCATTTCACCTTTGATACAGAGCCCACGTTCTAAGGTAGACCGTCTAGTTAAAATAAAGTAAGAATTACTGTCACGTCTTTTACACAAAGTAGCAACATAAGTTGTATTTCTGAAAAGATACCACTTTCAAAAAGAATAGGGTCTTCAGCCACTTTGGTGGGTACCTACCACCCAAGGCAAGCACGCTAAGGTATAACTGATATATATCTTTGAACTTGCACGTTATCATTTGGTTCTTGTTTAATGAAATGCAACCCAGCTCAATACTTGGACAATACAGGAGAATTAAAGAGTATGCAAAGGTACGTACCTGCTGTATAATCTTGGTTATACAAGTCCTCTGAAGGTGAGAATCAATTAGCGTTCTCGTGCTACACAGGCGGTGCACCAGTCTTCAAAAAACAATGACGTCACGTCCCACCTCAACCTCTGACCTATGACCTCTTCTCATAGCTCACATGAGGGGTGGGTGATCAGACTCAGAGAAACTGGGTGGGCCGAAAGTTCAAAACTAAAAACAACTCCCAACTTGAAGCTGCACTCTAGAATGACTTCAAGGTCAACCAACTACAAAAGAACAAGATAGAAGATATATGTAAAGAACTCTGAACAACAATAAACTTGCAAAATCGACAAGACAAGGATGAATTAAACACCAGTTAGACTAACATACTAACGTATTTACAATGAAAGTAACAGATTAACTTCAATAGTGAGAATCAAGGGATTGGGAATCAATCGTCTCAATAAGCTGGCATGACGGGTGGGAATCGATTCTCACCTTCAGAGGACTTGTATAACCAAGATTATACAGCAGGTAAGTACCTTTGCATAATCTATACTGCGTCCTCTTTTGGGTCGAATCAATTGGCGACTTTGAAGTCACCTCACTGAACAGAGTCCTTGCAACTGTAGAGGTTGCAGAGGGCCAAAGGTAAAATCTACTCAATGTTGACTCAACTGACCAACCTGCAGCTTCAAGAATATCCCTGTGGGCTACTCCTGATCTATGGGAACAACATGCTGCTGCTCCTCTTGTTGAATGAGCTTTGAAATACTCTGTATCAACACCTGCTAAGACAAGTATTTCCAACATCCAACGACTGATTGTTGAGGAAACTACCTTTCTGTGAGGTTTCTGATGACTGCTAAATAACCTGGTTTCAGAACCACGACACACAGCCGTTCGTTCCAAATAGTGTGCGACTGAACGTAGAGGACAAATATGTCCATTCTCACAGGCTTCAATGCCAACTCCCTTGATATCATGGCCAGGTCTATGCTGCTTATGTAATCTGGACGGTACAAACTTCAGGAAACTATGCTATACTGATAAGTCCCTTATGTCAATGTTCTAAAGAGACCAAACCCCTCCTATGGTAACTAACCCCAAAAGTAAGACATTCTTCATGGTATTAGCATGTTCGGAGACAACTGAGCCTTATGTATATGAGTACTGACTCCACATCCCAAATATGAGCATACTTTGTTCTCGGAGGGTTATGATTAAAACCCTTCACCAGCTTGCATATTTCTGGTAATTGACCAACCTGGACACCTCCAATGTTTTGGCGATACGTTGAAATGGTTCATCTATAGCAACCTCCGACGAAAAACCTTTCGCTTTGAACTGTCTCCGCAAAGCCGTCATGCCGCTAGGTGTAGGGAATTGGTCAGAGGATGTGGTTGACCCGAACGAGGCAAGGCGAGAATGTTCTCCTGGTGAGGGACAAGAATTGGTTGTGCTTTAGCTTATTTTAGCAACAGTGGGTACCAAGCTTGAGTTGTCCATATTGGTGCTATGACAAGAATTGTTGCCTGATCTACTTCTACCTTGCTCAACATCTGTGCTAAGAGACAAAAGGGCGGAAACGCATATTCTAATTGTTCTTTCGTCCATGATATTGAAAAGTTTAACGCGTTTATTGCTACTGCCCCCCGAGTCTGGTCTCCACGTTACATAACGTGGAAACTGATGATTTATCCTTGAGGCAAACAAGTCGATTGTCAGTTCGGATAGCAGTCTAGCCTCATACGTACTATTTGAAGAATATGAGTACTCAGCATCCATTCCAGTCTGTCCACAAACAGTCGTGATTGGGAATCCGCAATGAGGTTCTCTGCCTGGACTGTGGTATGCTGTGAGTGTGATCTCCCGTTCCAAGCAGCACTTCCACATTTCTATCGCAAGGTTCGATAGAGATGAGGTGTGCGTTCCCCCTTTGTGCTTGATGTGATCTGTTTCAGTTGAATTGTCCAACCGCATCAGAATATGGCACTTCCGTAAATTTGTCCCAAACAAAGGTCTGGAGTGCCAGGAAGGAGGCTAGTAATTCCAGAAAATTGATGTGATGCCCTCTCTCCCTCGGAAACCGTCTGCCCCCGTCTGTATATTGTTGCAGTGGGCTCCCCAGCCATGGGACGAAGGATCTGATCAACTGAGGGTGAGGCAATGAGATTGGTTTCCCGTTCCATTGGTGGAGACACGCCCCCCACCACTGGAGATCTTGAAGCCTTGGTTCTGACAGAACTATTTGGCCCTGGTAAGATGGATCTTTCTGAACAGCTGCAATCAGATCTGCTTGACAGGTAAAGAATACTGGGGCTGGGACAACATCTCCTGATGTTGCATTCATCTTCTCAAGTAAGCTAGCAAGACTCTCTGCTGTCATTTGTGGGTTTCTGATGATCTGCAGACACAGACCTTCCAATTGTTTGATTTTCTTTTCCGGGAGACTCAGAGTCATCTTGATTGAATCTATTATGTGGCCAAGGAATCGAATTTGATGACTCGGGGTCAACTGGGACTACTCCAAATTCACCAACAGCCCCGAGCCTTTGAATAGTTGGAGAATGTAATGCTTGTGAGATTGACACTACTTCTCTGAATTTGCTACAAGCAAAATGTCGTCTAGATAGATTATTAACCTCATCGATCTCTGGTGTAGATAAGAAACCACTGGTTTCATGAGTTTGGTGAAAAGGCGAGGAGCTGATTTCAATCCAAAGGGGACTACCTGACACTCTAGTAACATCCCTTCCTATTCGAATCTGAGGAATTTCTTGTGTTCTGGGCAAATGGGAGTCAGGTTTGCGTGGTGGTTGTTTCCTCGCCCTCCACCTCTGCGGCCCGGGTTTGAATCCCGGCCCGGTCCACATGTGGATTGGGTTTTCAGTCCCTATCTGATTCCGTGGGTTTTACCCAGAATATTCCGCTGGGGTTTTCATCCCACCTCTAAAACTGTAACTGCTTCTCACTGTCTCCTATCCACAGGTTTCTTCAGGCTTGTGAGCTACAGTGCCTAGGGCGCTTTTGAGGGATCCTTGGTGTCATTACCAGAAATATATAACATTACAAATAGTATGAAAAACCGTGATGGTAAAAATCAGTATCAGTCTTCGATCGTGCAATTCCTCTCCACGATCATAAAAGGTATCTCTCCCCTGCTGACTACGACCTTGGAGACATTGCCTGTCGTCATTACCACTTTCACGACTCAAAGAACGAAGGTGTGAAGTGCGGTCCACCTCTCTATCATCGCGACCCAAAGATAGGAGTCGCAAATGGTACCGATCTCGAGTATCATATACATGTGTGTCACGAGCGTGCAGAGATTCACCACGCGCGCGTGACACGCCGGCATGGTCGGCACTGACTGCCATGCCAGCACGATCCTGAACAATTACTTCTATCATCTCCAGAATCTACTGATTTATTAGGTGTGTCAGAATGTTTACCTTTGTCGACATACCTGTCGTCTTGGTCTGTGGCCATTACTTCTGGACAAAACTGTCAGTTAGCGACAAAAAAGGAGAACATTTTTCCTTCTGCAAAAATACACCACTCTCGGCGCCCGCCGTGCAGTTATGAGAAGAGGTCATAGGTTATGGATTGAGGTGGGACGCGACATCATTGTTTTTTGAAGACTGGTGCACGGCCTGAGTAGCACGAGAACGCAAATTGATTCAAAATGGAAGAGGACACAGTACAATTATGAACAGGACGTTCCAGAAGTTGGTCAGGGTACTGAGCTACACGCCATGCTTTGCATTTCCCTCAAAACTGTGTATAATGCAAGAGATTAAAGCGGTCATCGTGCAGCGTCCACGCATGGCATACTAAGTACAAAAAAGCCAATTTACAATACCCTTCACTATTGTTGCCTGCTGCGTAGGAGTCCATTATGTAACTGTTTTGTATACCCATGCAAGCGAAGCAGAGGGTCCCCCCCCCCGTTGTTGAAGAAATGGTGCTTCGCTGTCCCCTACAGCGCATCTTATAGGACCATACACTATACGTACGTAGTATCAGCGTAGGTACAACCTCGTACCCAATGTTGCGGTAAAACACACAAAGCGGGGAAACACTTTCAACAGGGTGAGGCAATGATCAAGGTACAATTAGTGCTCAACTATTCAAAATTCACGATTTGTTACCGTGGTATAACAAGCATACCTGTAATCGGGTTATGGGGACTACACATGCACAGGCTGAGATAATTATAGACGTTTTCAGGATCAAGATGTCACGGGGGCATTTTTCCACAGAACCAGGTCTGGGCTTCCTTTAAGATTATGTCTCTTTAATGTGGGAAGGCCTGTACCCACAATTGGACGCTCTAATTTCACTTTTCCATACTCGTTCAGAAGCTCCTTTGGTATTCAAATCATTTAGGCCCTAACTACTGACTTGCCATTGCGCTCCACAGAAAGAACCGAATGCATAACGAAGCGCTCTACTGTATCACTAAAACCAAAAGAGCCCGCCTCTTACACAGAACGTGCCTTCACAGTGCAATTTACGGCAGGTTTTCTAAATACTGCCGTTTATTGCCCAATCGCACAGAATGTCAGTTCACAGTATAGGACAGGTAACAGCCAGACTGGCGATAATTTTGCCAGTGGCGCCTTGTCTCTTCGTAGCCTCTGAAAAAAATAGCTCAGGTTTGCAAACACAGCAGTTCACCACCTTATTGTGTTTTCTTGGCAAACTGCACCACAGAAAACAAATGTGCTCGGTTTTAATACCTTTTTACCGCTCACCGTGTAATTGGGCCTCAACAGTCTCTAAACTGTCCGATAGGAAACCGCGCGTGTATTCTACCTAAAAAAAACGTTTTTCTTACCACTGCGTAAAGGGGCCCTAAATCAATTTCCGGAGGGCGTCAATTGATTAAATGACGGGTGACCAGCGTGTGCAGACCCGCACGTTGCAAGTCCATTACGCTGCCAGTGATCCTATAGCCCAGTGACTTGTCAGTCTTGTGAAGAGAAGGGGGAACTGGGGGCTAGGACTGGACACCCAACGATGCGATGAGTGACTCCCATCTAGAGGTTCTTTGAATGTGCCGTTTAATAACAGGGAGCGCGTAGGCAGTCTCCCCAAGAAAAATCTTGCATGTGAAATATACAATTTCGACAAGGATTTAATTACATGTACTGGTATCTAAATAACATCAGAGAAGGTATCACATATATGTTAATTAGCGCCTGACATAAGTCACCCCTGGAAATGCATCCCCGACTTTTTGTTAAAGGAACTAGAACATATGTATGGATTGTGGTGTATCTTATAGTGACATACATGGTTCACTATACATTTTGGAAAGAGGAACTCTCAAACAGTAATAATGAAGACGGCGAACTACGCTCAAAGGGTTTCCACACAAAGGAAATCGGCACCACTGGGCCTCCGTAGTTTAGATTTCAACAGTTCCCGTCCGTCTTAGTCGGCGATGGAAGCCAATCTATCATGAAATGCATCAATCATTCACAACTTTAACATGGGATACTCCTCTGTATGAATAATTAATGATAACAACCCACAGCTCAGCTAATCTCAGTGCATCTTCGACACAGCGTCGTATCACTCATGACTGACGTAATTTGCGGTGCTACACAGGGCGACAAAGACGAACAGAGAAGGCAAAATAATCTATCCTTTGACCCTTTCACTGGTCCTACGGTTAACAAGTACTTATTATTTAATTTTTGAGAACATTTATAAAGCAATACTCTGGCGAAACTGCCGAAAACGGTTCGAAAATTACTCGGTTAAGACGAGCACGTCTTCGTCAGGGCTAGCAAAAATGGCAGCGTGGCGGGCCAACAATCACGTGATCGACGTTAATGCATTACAACTTTTATCATGACTTTTGTCACCTAAGCCACACATTACCAAGGGATCAGGGCCAAAACATCACTAAATTTAGTGATTTTTTAAAATAGGTACATAAATGCTGATTCTGCAAAGTTACAAGGAAAATTCACTTACTAACGGTTGTCATGGAAACCCTTTCCTGTCTTCACAACACGCTCCAAATCTATGGAAGCCTACCACTGACAATCAGCTTACGCCATACGCCCATTACAGTATTTAAAGTACTTGGTTACTATTTAAAATATAGGTGAAACTAAGTAACTTTACAAAATTCCCCTTTATGTTTTTCGCGGGAAAACCTTGAGTCAACATTTCATTAGTCAATGAATAATATTTAATATAGTGTCTTTCTGTGATATACAGCCGAATTAAGAAAAGCGAAAGAAAAAGAGAAGTAGAGCTTGAGCCGAAGACAAAATTTTCAAGACCTGAAGAGCCGAGTAAGACACTGGGAAAAGTTCCAAACATGCTGTTCTAAATCAAAACCTTACCATTCATTTCAAGGAGCTCTTTCTCGTGACAGGGGCAAACGACTTTTTGTTTCCTGTTCATCTCATACCCTGCAAGCCTTACAAAGGACGGGCGGCATAGTTGAGTTGCAGCCGCTGCATGCATTCTCGTGCCTGGATACTTCACACCTTCACTTCAGCACACATTTTGACATTTTCTGTTGCCAGGAGGACACAGAATATTGTAATCAATTTTTTTTCCCCAAGCATATTTTTTTTGGTATTTTGACTGCCGGAAGGGGTAAATTGATTGTTTTACAGGAAGCGGTATTCGATCAAAAGCACGGATGACAGGTTTCCTGTGCCGGCAGCCTTTGCTCCTCGGGCAAACCTCTTTCAAGCCCCTTCGTAACAAATCAACGCTAGAAGAGCCTTTATTTCTGAAAGTCATAACAACATATCAGTGAAGTCTTTCAGTTTGCACGCAATGGCGAATAAGCTGAAGACGAGAACTGATGTACAATGCGTACAAGTTCTTGGATTACTCCGTCTCGGGTATATCAACCTACTGAAATGAGATGTGCATGTCCTGGAAAAGTTATCACAGGATGTCAGCATCTAGGAAGTAGGATAAGCCTGCGTACTGGCAAACAGTGCCTTGTTACTGTAACACCTCACGAGATAATTATCTCATGCAGTTTGCTTCACAGTTGCACACTAAGTAATAAATTACTAAGCTAAAGTAATAAACTACTAAATCGGATGGCACCTCCAGTACTCCGTATTGAAGTTCCCCTTTAACCATTAACCAATGCTAATAATCCTACAAGTAAAATGGGGTCCAATATATAACTTCGAAGCTGAAGCTACTACAGGTGCTCTGTGATTGCCTTAGATTGCAGAAGGAAGCATCGTAAAATGTAATACTTTCACAGGCCATGCACAGGGCCCCCATCAGAACATGCTGGTGAAAGCATCTTCTATGGAATTCCATATCTGCCGTCGCCCGTCGTCCGTCGCA